TGGAAGGATGGAAGGAAGGAAGGGAGGGAGGGATAGAAGGATAGAAGGAGGGAAGGGAAGGAAGAAGGAGGAAAGGAAGGAGGGGGGAGAGGGAGGGAGGAGGGAAGGAAGGAGGGGAGGGAGGAAAGGAGGAGCTAGATATGTTTGTGCTGATCTGAACAGTCACGACATACACATGAACCAGGATATCATGTGGTGACCATAAAGATGTCCTGTTTTTATGTATCAGGAACAATTTTAAAATAAAGTGAGAGCCGGGCGTGGTGGCGCATGCCTGTAATCCCTGCACTCGGGAGGCTGAGGCAGGAGGATCATTTCAAGTTCGAGACCAGCCTGGGTTGCAAAGCGAGCTTGAGGCCAGCTTGAACCGCACAGTGAGACCCTGTCTCAAAAAGACATACATACATAAATAAACAAACAAATAAATAAAGTGCATGTTGTAGCTGGCTAACTCTTGAGTCAAAGAAATGGGCGTTTACACAGCACTGGCAAAGATCAGTAAAGAAAGAGCTGCAAGTAATAGTTGTGATGAAAAGGGAAGAACGAGAACACACACCAAATGCAGAGCTCAGACCGACACAGAAGCAGCCCTCCCAACAGTAAGCGGGCGGGGGCGGCAGCAATCCCATGGTCACGTACCTGGTCTAGGTCCAGAACCGAGTACACGATCTTCCCTCTGTCATCTCCCGAGAACAACTTCATCCCGTTGGGACTCCAGGCCAGCGCTGTGATGCTATTTCTGTGAACCCCAGTGACGTCAAATCTCCGAAGCTACGGGCGGCCAAGAAAACACAAGGCAGGGGACCGTATGAGTGCGGGGCTTGGGCCGTGTGGTGATGGCTAATCTTCATGAGGAGCGGCAGGCTCCTTCTGCCCGCTGGGGACCCACAGAGAACACACCTGGATGTCGCCAGGCCTCAAAGTGCTCCACTCTGTCCCTGCGTGCCAGGGGTCCAGCAGGAACAGGGGTGCTGCCCAATTAGAAGCCACACAGAGTTATGCTTTTCTGAGCATGTATTTGCTAGATGTGGGAGGGTTTCTAATTTTAAAATACACAAGAGTTGGGTGTGGTGGTGAGCGCCTGTGATCCCAGGACTCAGGAGGCTGAGGCAGGAGCATCACTGTGAGTTCAAAGCCAGCCTGGACTACACAGTAAGACCCTGTCTCAAAAACAACAACAACAAGAAGCCCCTGCGGAGTTAGCTGAGCAGCGCGGAAATGCTGATGCGGTGGGCGCCCACCTGTTTGTTCCGCCCCGGCAGTGAGGACACCAGTTGGAAAACGGCAACCCTCCCAGAGGCGGTGCCCGCTGCCACCAGGTCATCAAAGCAGCTCAGCAACTTCACCACAGTGATGGACTCCGTCTTCCCCTAGAAGAGCAAACATTCAAGCAGATTAACCTGGACACCGACACACTTTGCAAATGGAAAACAAGGACAACAAAAGAGCGTCGTGGGTCACAGCCCACAGATTCCTAATCGGAAATGTACAGTCAGGAAGATGATTAGATTTGTTAGAAACCTTTCCCTTCTCGGGATTCCGCCCTTGCTTTTAAATTACATTAACACAGAACATAAAATTACCATATTAGAGTTTTCACTTGAATGGTTCTGAGGACTGAACCCAGGACCTTCACACTCAGCTACATCCCCCGCCCTTTTCTGATCTTTTGAGACAGGGTTTCACGGAACCTCCAAGTTGCCCAGCTGGGCTTCAACTTGAGACCCTTTGCCTCAGCCTCCTGAGTGTCCGGATGACAGGCACACGCCACCCGGCCCGGCTTATCAGAGGCATCATCATCGTCAGGCACATTTCAGTGTTCACAATGTTGTGCAACCGTCACCACCATCCATCTCCAAAATTCTTCCCATCTTGGAAACTGGAACTTGAAACCCACAAACAACCACCCGTCCTCCTGTCCCTGGCTGCCGGCGACCCCTTGCCACATTCTTGCTATGTGCTCAGCGGGATCACACGGGAGCCCTCTCTTCTCTGCCCGGCTGGGCACAAGGTCCTAGGGCTTCGATGGACGCTTTCACCCAGCCCGCTTTCCTTCCCCACGGAGGCAGTGACGTCGCTGTGGCGTGTAAACCAGCATGCTGGCCCGTTTCCGCTGCTGTCCTATCAGCACTCACACGGGCACACAAAGCCTTTCCAAGGCCCAGCCACCTCTGCTGGGCCTGTGCTCACTCTGGACCTGCGGGTTCAGACGGCACTTCCAGCTTCAGCTCGTTATCTTATGGCACTGGGGAGCGAACCAAGGCCCTTCACACAGAGCCAGATCTCCAGCCCTTCTCGTTTTTTTTATTTTGAGACAGGGTCTCACCAAGTTGGGCAGGCTGGCCTAAACCTTTGACCACCCTGCCTCAGCCTCTTGGGTAGCTGGAATTACAGATGTGTGCCACCACACGTGGCTTCATTTTTAATTTTCAAGAAATCATCAATCTCCTAAAGCAACTATACTACCTTCCTACCCACAGTGCACAAAGCCCCATCTCCCATATCCCAGCCGGTTTTGTTCACTAGCAGATGTCCTGGCGGGAAAGGTGGCACTCACTACAGTTGTGACTTGTGTTTCCCGGGAGACCAGCGATGGGGAGCAGCTCTTTGAAAGCTCATTTCTATGGAAAAGCACCTACGGATGTCTTATGCCCATTCTCGATTTGTTTGTTATTGTTTTCTATATATTCTATATAT